AAAATAATTGTTTCATCATCTTGATGGTAGTTGATTGTATATCTCATATACTTCTTTAAAACTTAATCTACTTGTTTTGTTTGTATATAAGTTTTAAGATAGAAAGTCAAAGGGAATTTTATACCTTTCTTTAATATCTTAAAAACAATTCTCCAAAACCTTGATATAAATTTATTTCTTTTGTTTGATTAATATTCTTTTGTAATCCATGATAATGATAAATATTGTCAAAGAAAATGTTAATTATTTCTTTACTTATAATAGATTTTATATATGATATAAAATATGCCATCTTAATAAATCAATCTATTATGTTAAATATAAAGTCATAAGAATATGACACTAAAAGATCGATGATAAAATCTATAGAAACAAAAGACTATAGTTGTTTTGAAATAAGTAATGGCTAAAGAAATTGATAAAATTGTTGACGTAGAGTTTTTGATCTTAAACAAATATCACATAGTTATAAAAAGTCTTTAATTGCCTTCTATATTTGAAGCCACCAAAAATATCTAGATATTAATTCCAAAATCTTGTTGTATCTAAAATATTGTGTAGTTGAAAAATCCTAATAAGCTTAAAGAATACTTAATTTTTCTTCATCTTATTGAATATATAAGTATTTTTAAAAATAGAGTAGATTACATTTAAATTCAAATTTTGAAGTATCATGAGATTTGAATAAATTATTCTTAATATCATAAATAATTTAATTTAAAGATATATTTAATTAAACTTGCTAAAAAAAAATTAAATCAATAGTCAATATTTATTTTATTGCTCAAAGATGAAATTATTCCAATATCAAAAGAATTATTTGTTATTAATCAAAAGCTACATCACTTTATTTTGATACAAGATAAAGATTTCTAAGAAAGAGCATCTAACAAATTTTGATATTATTCTTAAAATAAATCCATAATTACAAAATTCTCTTTATTATGGATTTTATAGTTGATTTTGGATGCTGAAAAGTTTTTTAAATTAAAAGTTATTAGATGAAGTTTGTTATTTGCTTCCATTTGTAACTATATTGTACTTAAAGAAACTTTTGATGTAGTTTTTTTCATAAAAAATACCTTCAAAAAGTTGATGTAATATAAGATTGATGTAGAAGTGAAAGTTATTTTCAAAGCTTCAAATGATGCTTTTGTTTCTTTATTCCACTCAAATTTGTCTTTATGAGTTAGTTGTCTAAATGATGCTGTAATTTAAAAAAAATCTTGAATTTTAAAAAATATTAAATATTATTTATTATTTTTAGAATATTTTAATCTATCATACTAAAAATTTTATAAATTTTTTCATAAGACCCTTATTTGAAATGATGTATCTTAAGAAATCAACTTAAGTTGTGTAAAATAGATACTTCTCTATCTTAGAATATTATTTTATATCTCAAAGTTTTTGTAACACATGATGAAAATAAAGTTCATTCTCTTATATGTTCTTAGAGTAGATTAAAATATTATATAAATAAAAAACAACCAAATCATTTAAATATTATCAAAAAAATCATTTATAAGATATTGAAAAGCAATTGATAAATTCATTCATCTAAAAAATATGACATTATATTCAAAATATCTATATTTAGTTTAAAATATAATTTTTATTTATTTATTTTGATATGTATCAAGTTATATGCTCTTCATAAATCTATTTTTGTATAGATTTTTACTTCTTTCAATTGTTCAAGAAGTCTTAAAATTAAAAATAAATGATATCAATTCTTGATATTGATGTTATATCATAGACATATATATTTATTTTAATAATTAATTAAATAATATGAATAATTAAAAATAAATTAAATAATATAAATAATTAAGTCCAAAATCCACTTGTCTCTATACTTTTGTCAAGGTCATCAAATACCCTAGTACCATAACTTGCACTTTCTTGTATTTATAATCCATGTACTACTAAATAGTCTTGAATCAATGCTTTCATATCTTCCTTATTAAAATTGGTTTAAATGAGATTTCATATATCTTTTAATTCAACCTTTCCATCTTTCCAAAAGAAGACTCCTTGTCACACCATATTATTAAATTTATTGCAATCCTTCCTAGTACAAGAAATATCATCACACCAAATACATCTTTGTATATATTTTTATTTAAAAATAGCTTTTAAATTAGTTATATAAGTCTTTTCTTCAAGTCTTGCCAATTTGATTTGAAGATCTTCTATACCACATATAATTTCTTTAACCCCCATATCTTCTTTCTTTGATGTAGATGCTAAAGATTAAATAATAGGCATTGCTGGCCATATTGTATGCACTTGAATTTTAGGTGCATGTACTACTCTTGGAATATTAATCCTATCTTTTCTCTTCTTTTAATTTACAAGCAAACCCATAGTATCTTCAATATTTTTCTACTTTGTTGTCAATCCTTTATCTTTTCCTTTCTCTTCAAGAAGCAACTCCAATTTTTCTTGTAATTTTCTATTACGTGCTTGAAGAAGTAATTCAACCTTCTTTGGCTCAAATGACAACTTCTCTATCTTTGATAATTAATAATATTATCTTTCAAACTCTTTTAATAACTCTATTGCATATAAGTTTTTATTATGTCATTCAATCTATTCTAGATATAATTTCTTAGTAATGCAAATATTATCTTTTAAAAAATATTTATCTTTTAATGCATGTAAAAATATCTCCTATAAACTCTCATAATGCTTCATAATTGATATAACATGTTTCTATATCTAAGGTATCTTAGCAAGTTCAAATAGTTCAATCATTTTCTTTTTAGAGACCCAATTTAATTCTATTTCTGTACATAATATCTTAGATACTTTGAGATATGTCTTCCATCAAATTGATCAACCTTTTAAGTATTGCTTGCAATGCTTTGGTTGCCAAAGCTTCTTTACAATCATTGCTCTGTTATTGTTATATAGATAATGTAAAAGCTTAAAATATTCTTGCAATGATTGGATCCATAAACATACCTCGTCTCTTAGTAAAAATTCCATCATAGCTCTACTCAAAGCTCCTTCTATAGCTCTTTCAAAACACTTGCTCATGTTATCCATTAAATAAATAAAATAAAAAAAATAAACAACTTCAATATTTTTTACCTCAAGCTTTTATGTCAAGTTTATTACTTGTATTATATTACATGTATTCTTACTTAAGAACACATTGGGCGCCTAATTGTGGAAGGTAGGTAGAAATGCAAGAAAAATCCTATCAAATCAAATATAATCTTCAATAATCTTAAGTAGACCTTAATAATCATGATCAAATTTTGACCGATCTAAAATAAATTTAAAAGAAGTTATAAAAGAAGCATAAAGAAGTCCAAAATTAATTCCAAAAAAAAATAACAAGAAATCTTAAAGAAATATAAAAATAAATCTTTAAAGAAATAAATACAATCTTTAAAAAATACTAGAAATAAAAATATTTTAAAAAAAAACAAAGAATCCTAAAAAAATACTAAAAATAATTTTTTTAATATAATCCTAATTGAAATCTTAATTGAATCTTAACCAAAATCTTTTATTAAATCCTTATTGAAATCTCAATAAAATTCTAAAGCTTAAATAAATCATAGACAAATCTTAATTAACTTCTAGTCAAGTTTTAAATCAATTCTTAAGCAAATCCTAATTGTTATCAAACCTTAGATCAAATCCTAAGTCCTAACCAAATCATAGACAAACCTTAAAATATGCCCAATAGTAAATTGGAACCTCAACAACTAATGATCAAACTATTGATATCAATTCAAAAATTTTATACTTTTTAATATCTTTGTTAAGAACAAGCATAAGAAAGATGAAATTGATTTTACTTATCAATTGAGAGAAATGCAAGATAATCCAATTGGATGTTGGGCAGCTGCTTGCTTCAACCTAAATGTTAAACTTCAAGCACCAATATCTCCTTCTTGAATGATTAAATTACTCTCAAACTTCACATAACTATTAGAAATCAAGTCTAATATCTATATAATAAAATTTCTTTTCAATCCAATTGACAAATCACTAAAGATCTTAGAAACACTCATTAACCCTCAAACTCCAATTTTTGAGATCTCCACCTACAAAAACTTTTGTACACTTTAATCTAACTATTTGATTGATTCCAAAATTTTCATACAAATTTACAACTAACACATCAATATATTATCTATAATTCACTTATATGTATAGTAAAAAACTTTAAAAAATTCTCAAATTTGTAAACATATTTTTCTTTTTTAAAATCTAAACTAACTAAGAACATGACTAATTTTGAAAATCCTTCAAAAACTCAATATTAATATAATTGATATAAAATCAATACTTAAAAATCTCTTTTCAAGTTTGCTCTCAAATCCCACTCTTCAATCTACCAAAATATCCCAAAATCGCCATATGGTTATATTTTTATACATCAGGGTCTAATTTCAATCTAGGTTGACAACCAATCCACTTTAGATATTAATTTTTAGTAAATTGAGATAAGTTTTATTTTATCTTATTGTTAATTCTTTCTTTAATATATCTATATTAATTTCTTATCTTATTTACTTTAATTTGGCTCATTTATGCTTCTACAAAGTAAATAGAAGTTCCTTCTATAAAAAAGCAGCATTAAGATTAAATCTTTTACTATCTTTCTATCCTTTATCCTTATTTTTCTACTACATCTTTTTGTTAGTTTCTTCTATAATAACATCCATATTTTTATTTTTTCTATATAATCATGTTACCACATTATACCATCCTTAGCAATGATTGAAAACAAGAATGGGGGCTACAAAGATTCAATGATGGTTAAGATAAGGTGGATTGCTTTAATAAAAATTTGGATTGCTTTATCATTCTTCTTTTTTATTATTATTGCAAATAACATTTTTTTTCTAAAACTTATTGATACAATTTATTTAGTCATCCATTTTTATACAATTTTCTATAGAAGGTTTTGTTTTTTAATATTTTAATATTTAAAAAATATATTCAAAAATTTAATACAAACATTATCTTGCAATCTAAAAAAATATGTTTTTAGAATTCATAAATACTATATATATTGCCAAAAAATGTTGAATTAGTTTTTACAAAGGACATAATATCTTTCTGTATAAAAATAATAATAATAATATTTTTAAAAATAGTTCATAATTACAAAAATTCAATCTTTGCTAAAAAACACTGAAAGGTTTATAATAAATTCAATTAATGACAATGACCACGGTCTCTGTAGAACTTGCTGTTTTTGCAATTGTGCTTCTTGCAAGTATTTAGTAAAACTGTGTGGAGCATTCTGGAGCCCATATGATATTATTACAAATGGAAATGCTTACAACAATTTGTAAACTGCTTTTGTAATTTTTAATAAATCAGAGTTGGAGGAATTTTCTTTTAAAATTTGAGTAGATTCCATGTTGAATTTTTTAATTGATATCCTGTTCTGTGTAAGATGGTTTGATCTCTTTCTGAAAGATAAGCTTTGAAATTCATAATATCAGGCCCATAATGGCAATAATGTGGCCGGCAAATTGTTCCTGAGTGCCTAACATATCACGAATTACTCGTATAAGAACACAGAATTTTGACGACTTCATGATGAGAACAAATCTCTCTATAACCCAACGCTCAGCTCATCGCCATTCAGAATCCTTCACTGAGATAGCGGAAGCAGGACGATACCAATGTTTTCAATGAAGGGAGTTACCAATAGTTCTGTCAAGTTCAATGTTGATTAATCATCAACTCTCCCTGATAGAATTATGTAGATTTTTTTAATACTTCGATTATAATTACAGCTGCTAAGAGTAGCCAACAAAGAAATTCAACACCGATCAATCAACTTGCAACGTTATCTCTGATGAATTGCTAAACAGTTAGGGAACCTAGTTCTTAGGTTCTTACTGCCGTAAACTCTCCACGATGTATGCGGCATAGAGGTCCCTGCAGAAAATTAAAACCTACATACATTAGCATGCGCATTTGTATATGTGAAGCACTACGTATACCTCAGCAGAGAAAAGTAAACATAGAACGGTTATTTCTTCTCTACAACCAATGTTCCCACTTCCTAAAGTTTATCAATGAGAAGTTGAGGGCACATTATTACAGAACTCGGACGACTGATGACGAGCTTTGTTTCAGATGATTCAAAGTCTATGTATCAAGAGAGAATGACAAATCACAGATTCAAGAGAAACAAGGATCATCATGCAGACTACCTACATGGAATGGCTAATGGCTTGAAGTGCAGCTTCATGTCCAAAAACATTGTCCACAATCACGTCTTTGTTCTCATTCTTCTTGTCTGAACGGCTCAAAGTAATGATTGTAAGTCATTTGAAACCACAAATGCAAGAAATACAAGATTTCATGTAACCTCTATTATCAATGAAGCTTACGAAGTATTTGAAATTTATTCAGGACTTACAATCTTCGAAAAACCGACGAATTTCGGCAAGTCGATGTGGAGGAAACTCATTGATGTCTTTGAAGTGTCTATACTCCGGATCGTCAGCACAGACAGCGATGATCTTGTCATCCTTCTCTCCCTACAGGTCCTTACAAATTTAACATTAGATTTACATATAGTGGATGATTAGGTACGAACAATATGAGAACATGATCAATACAAGCTAGTTTGGTTTCCGTCAAAGAGTACGGCATAATAGTCCCTCACTTGATCAATCATGGGCATAAGCCCAATAGCTCTTGCTCGAACGAACGTACCAGGCAAAACAGGTTCCTGCAAGCAAGCTATTCTTGTATGAGTACCTCAACCATTTAGACACACTGCAAAGATCTCATTAGTGCATCCTCAGTAGAGAGCTTTCATTTCCATAGACCTAAGGAGAGAGCGTCCACTCCCACTGGAAAAATAACTAAACCTGTTGGAAAGAATTCTATCTCGACTCAGTTTCGGACTTAGTTGACATTTTCTTCAATTTGGGAACAAAAATTCTGTTCTACTGAGATTAAAGTTCAGTGCTCAAAGCATGTGTTTAGTCAAACATAACACGACTTACACCATGAACATTTTTAAAGCGGTGTATGATTCTCTAATGACATATAAACCTGCGATGACAATGTCTGATTTTGATCTGGAAACATATATAGAACAAGCGCAGCTCATTTCACATCTCAATCTCACTCTTAGCCTTCATTATCATGGGATAAGCCAACAATAAATATCTGTGGAGCATTGAGAACATCTCTGGTAATAGAGAAACAGCCTGAAATTCCTGGTGATGCATTAATGTGCCTGTGTTCTATTTTTTATTAATCAATTGACTTAAATCTCCCTTGGGTACCCCAGAAACTTGAAACTAAACTGTAAACACCTTACGTGCATTTACCTTTGCTATAAAAATCTCAGTCTATCTCATTCACAAAATACAAATGTTGAAATTTAGTAAGGAAAAAAAAAAGTCTTGAATAGTACCTGCATAATGACGAGAACATCAATGGGATCCTCATCCTCACAAAGAGTACGTGGAATGAACCCATAATTGTGTGGATAGACAACTGATGAGTACAAGATACGATCAACCTGAAAAATGAGGTTAAGATTAAGGAGCGGTGGTTGAGCCAAGCCAACAGCTCGTGAAGATATGAAGACAAGATCGTTTAGAGTTAGTCACTGGCAATGACGTACCTTCATGAGACCACTTTTCTTGTCAAGTTCGTACTTTACCTTACTTCCCTTATTAATCTCAATAACCTGCATAATGTGTGGATTGAGTTCTTAATGTTTTATTCCAAACCAAATTGAAGAACCAAATAGAAGATTCTACCATGAAACTTATTCAGCTCACAGACCGTAGTGTTTGACTTCGATAATTTATCATTTCATATGCTACAAAGAAAATAACTCCTCGCTAAGAGATGCTCAAGAAAATGATGCTACGATTGCTTTCATTGTTATGCGTTTCGAGGCCCCAATATATTATTCGAATGCCAACCAAGAAAAATCCACAAGTAGGAAATCATCCTCATCCCAGATTTAAATTTATAGGTCACTCTTGGTAAAATAGGACCTCTCAGAGACGCGTTCTCAACAACAGAGAAAGCGAGAGGTTTCAAAGATGAGACACTGTTTAACTTACAACGTTGAAGATTTCTGGGGCATCTGAACCTGAACATTTTCCAATAAAACCAACGTTCAGAAACTAAAAGAGTTTGTTCATGAGCAAGAACTCCCTGATACTGCATAAAGCTAACAGTTCGATAAGCTGGACCTTGGTCGGTGACCTTTTACTGTTAGCACTTATTTCAATCTGGTATGTACCCAACTTCTTATGAACACAAAGATCACAAAAAATAAAAATAAAGAAATAAAAATAAAAATAAAGAAATAAAGAAATAGATCTATTGACAAGGAGATCCACACCAATTTCAAGATCATGCCACGGATGTGCAGCAACCGATCGTCGATCCATTGTTGACAAAATGCGGTGGTTGAGTGGTGCTGGTTGATGAACCGCAGAATTGTTTAGCTTCACTGCAACAGCAGGTGCGGCTCCATTAGTGGTCATCTTGGTACATTTAGGGACGAATACTCCACGCTCTTTTAATCTCACCTGCGCAAATATACAGAGAGTGAATGGCCTTTTATATGTTCGCAAATTCAACGTTGGACATATGGATAAACAATATACTGCCCACATTGTAATAAAGTATCATCCGTTTCTAACTTTAAAATCCGGCGCACATAAGTGCACAGGTGAAAGCTTGTACTGAACTTAATAATCAACCAAAACGACACAGCCCCAGAAAACAGTGGTAAACTATTGCACACAAGCCATTTATGATCCGTGCTATCGAGAATCGAAACTTTCATGGAACTAATAATCCAAATTCCGTGCAGTGTAGATGAAAGGTCGAAATCGATTCTTTGATAGCGACTTAGTTCGGTAACTCAGACACCACTAAAAATCCACCGTAAACACATCTACCAGAAATTCTCATTAAAAATTTCCACAGTTCGGCAGCATGAAGTCCATTCGGAAATTAAACTTCGTTATAAGTAAAAATAACAGTTATACCAAAACTTTCGCCAGAGGTCACCAATGCATTCACCACATCAGTTCCAAGAGAACCACGATGAGAAATGAACACCAAGTACAGGTTGGAAGTGCCAGCACTGTCGCGGAATTTTTCAAAAAAAAACACCAGTGCAACCCGCACATTCTGGAACTGACGATTAAGATATATGATCATTACAGAAATGGCGACACGAACATCGTTTAATCGTTCAAATCTCCCCATTGAGCCAGCGAACCAGATTCATCAAGAAACTTGTGGTCCATTTCCATAAAACGGACCTGGCACGGTGCAGCACCACCAAGCCCTCCCGGACAACCAAAAATACTCTCCCTACAACGCAAACCGCAATTGAGAATCGGCGAAGCGCAATGCAGCAGAATGGTCGCGAACCGATCTCGCGTGAGGATCGAAGCAGAAGCCGAGAAGAAAACTCGACTATAGAGCTGCCCGCGCAAACGCAAACTACACACAACAGAGTGAGAGAGAGAGAGAGAGAGAGAGGCGATTAGACTTGGACTTGAAAGGGCGGCGCCATGGAACTCAAATACAGAGACGGAGACGCACCTGGAGACGTTTTGGTAGATTTCTCCTCGTCATGTACCCTTTTGGAACATATAAAGCGGTCCCCGTGGTTGTCCTTGGTCGTTGGATGGACGGGGCGAACAGTCCGGAGAAATGTTTCCCCCCCTTAGTGCGGAAGCTTCCTATTCTGGAGTCCACGCATGGGTTAATGAGGGCCTAAAAGGGGATTAGTTGCACGGGTTAACCACCTGCCCTGTCGCCGTGGCTCCCAAATCCGTGCCCCCGCCCTGCATCATTCTCATCATCCTTCGTTTCCATTTATGTTGTTCTTATCCCTATAGTTGCTGGGGATTGGCTTTATGTTGTGTACAGATCCATGCATGGTAGATCTTGTGAGTTGCTCCATATTCGTTGCTCATTCGAAGGAAAGGGATGCAAAAACCCTATTATTAAGTTGTTTTAAGTATTCTTTCTCACTTTCAAATAGAGCATGAAATTCAAAGGCACAAGGAATTTGCTTTAAGAGGCTTTCATGCAAATTCGTTATTATTATTATTATTATTATGATTAATTTTACAAGCACTAATAAAAAAAACTGTAATTAAAGAAAATTGCTTATAAAATACTAAAGTCAATGATGATGATAATATGATCATCATGTGGGCAAATTATGAAATTAAAAAATTATACTGCATAAAGTAATTAAATATTAATTTGAAGAGTGTCCATATGGATAAATATTAAAATTAATAATAGAGATAAATAAAAATTTAAAAGAAATCTCAACTGCAACCTACCAATACCGTTTCACAATATGTTATTTGAGTTGAGGGGTTCAACAAAAAATTCACTAAATGCATGAAGTTGTAGCTTGAATATGAACAGCTAAACAATAATTATCAGAATTGATATTTGAAGGTATTTTTAAAAATATATTAGAAAAGGTCTTAAAACGTGCCAATTTTAAATAAATAAATAAATATATATTATAGAATTATATAATTTAAATTCCATGTACATGTATTAAAAAAAAATGAACATTATCATTAAAATTATTACTCCTTACATACAGGAAATGATCGTTTCATGACATAAATGTTGTGTTGATAATAACACATAAAAAAATATCAATGTCATCATCATCATCGGTGGTGGGGGCTAATCCTTGGAAACCTTAATTCTCACAGTGGGTGTGTGATCACCAGGTTTTCCCATACAAACCCAGCCCGGCCGGGTGAGGAAGCAGTAGTCTGGAAGGAAGAGTGGGCAGATAGAGTATGTGCTTTTGAGTATGTGCTCTGTTCTGGACTGAGGCATTTGAGGGGGTAGATAAGCAGGAATGTGGTGAATCTCCACCTAGTCAAGCAGTCAAGCCAAGCCTAGCCCAGCTTGGCTTAAGCTTAGCAGCACAGGTGGAACACCACAAGCTTGTGAACTTCTAGAATTAGAGCTTGAGGCTCTACCAGAATTAGGATTTCAGAGCTGCTCTGAGGCCTTTGGCTGTTTTCTCATGGAGGATATCCTTTGTGCCCTCAGATCTTATCCTATTGTGTCCATCGATTACACACTACTTGCAAAAACAATCAATTTTTTAATTGTATTGAAATTAGACTGATTCATTCAAGAGGGAGATTTAAATTTGGAATTCACTTATTTTGTAATTTAATCATACTTGACAATATTATCATTGTAACATTTACCACTTTAACTGACACCATAGTTTTACTTGGTGATTCTAAGGTCCTTTACAGTGTGATCATGACAAAACACATATATTCATTTAATGATATCAAATATTACAAGTTTAGATTTAAGGCATTGTAATGTAAGTATCATCATCTCACATGTATATTATTCAGAATGAGACAATAAAATTGTTAATTTATATTCTATATATGTGTATATATATAAATTGTATGCAAAGATATAATTTTGTATTGCACTATTAGACATTTTTTATTATCCATTTGAGCCACTTACTGTGCAGATTTGAAATATAGCACCAAAAATTTGGAACAAGCTAACTCTGATTTGATCCATGTTCTTATAGAAACAAAGAGTTCTTGTATAAAATTGCATAAAAAAGTAAAGATCAAACACTTGGACTACCCTACCACTACTTTACATATATATGTATGTGGGTATGTATATCTTGTATATACATATACACACACATATATGTGGATATGTATATCTTATACATGTATGATAAAATTTGGTTACTTTTGAGACCTAATTCAAACTCATATATAATGGTTGAGAGGCAAGCAATAAATCACCTTATTGCACATATTATACAACAAATTTAATAGCATCTATCAACCAATAACCAAGAGGGCTCTTCCATGAATGCACTTAACAATGGTTTGTCTATCAATACCTCAACTTATTCCTTCCAACATGTACTATTAGACACCAGAAGAACCAAAAATAGCCAAAGAAAAAATAAAAAAATAAAAAATATAATTATTGATGTCGTATAGTACATTGATTTTATCAAAATAATGAGGAGTAAGAGAACAAACATCTAAGTGACTATGAAGCATAAGCATTATTACGTACAAACAAACCTTGTAAAAAACTTAAGTAGCTACATGATTATAGAATTCACTAAAGACATTGGCAAATACTTGTTCCAATGATAAATGAAGGAGATCAACAACATTGGTGTCTATAATTGACTTTTTAGGTTAGAAACGTGGCCAACAAGTTGGCCATGTACCACATATGTTGTTAGCTTAAAAAATAAGCTAACTATGTAGCCCACACATAAAAAACTTGCCTTGTGAGCTAAAGCATGTGTCTTATAAAGTCAACATATATTAGAGGTCATATAGAACATTGTTACATAGCTCCTAGTTAGATAGTATATATAGAGGTAAGAATAAAGCACTCTTCACTCTTGTCAACTCTTTTCTTACTTCTAGTCTAGATTGAAGAGTCTCTAATTTTCTTGTCTTGTGGCAATAGCTATTCCACTTTCTTTTTAATATACATACTATTTTATTTCTATTTTGTCACTTTTCCTTTGATATAGATTTTTCAAGTTTATATATCTTTTTTAGTTTATGTCCTTGACAGATTAACAAGAATATATTTATAATATTAAAGCTTTGTCTTTTCTTGATTAAGGGTGGATTATCTTTTTTTCTTGATAAGACATAAGTATATTAGAAGTTGTGGATTACCCTCTTCTAAACTAATATTGTTCTTAATATCTTCTTTGTTCTCAAGTCCTTTCTTCTATTTTTCTTCAACAATATTAGATATTTTTTTTTAAAGTATCATTATGGCAGAGCTTATTGAAATGAAGAGTGCAATGGTACAAATGCAAGAGCAATTGAGGAAGTTAATGCTTGCAATGCATCAACTCAATTTATCACCACAAGAAATAATAAAAATAGTAAGAAGTAAAGATATAGATATGATTGGAGCTACTTCAACATCTGCATCCAATCATATCTCTTTTCCTATGATGGAACATCCTTCCGGTGTCGTATAGCATGATTTGTAAACTGAGAATACATTGGGTACTTAGCTATGAAGAGTTTAGCTTTGGCTTATATATGATGTCTTATCTCTCTAAAAAAATCCCTTTATCTTGTACAAAAGCTTAGATTATAATAAAATCCTTCAAAATATTTTCTTTCTGCAAAGGATGTTTTTACCCTAAACTTTGGAAATTCATATCTCTTGATCCAACAATTGAATTTTTCTCAAATTTCTATTTGACAAAGATTCTAGCTTTAAGCTTTATTACAAAAAAAATAAACCATAAATCTATTATGAATCTTTTGACAACTTTGAAATCCTAGCAAGTGCTTTAAATCCTAATCTACAAGCATCTAAAAAATATTTTCCTTATATCTCAAAAATCCATAATACAAATGCTACAAAATTTTTACATAAAGTTTATTAATATGATTACATACATTTTTAGAAATTTTGAGCCAAAATCTCTTCAAATTGCTCAAGAAATAGCTCAAAATACAACCATTAGTAAATCGAGTCACTTATAATCTTTAGATTTATAAGCACTAATTTTAACCTCTAATATCTCATTTATCTCAACTTAAAATCCATCAAATAATATACCAAAATTATAGTAAAATAAGTTTTCTCTTAAATCTCAGTTGCCAATCTACTGTTACGTTTCATACGCATGTATTATACTCAAAAGAGTGATAGTAGGTATAAAATCAACACCTCAACTTTGTGCACCCATATCTCTTTCATAAAAACTCCAATTGACTCAAAATATGCACCAAAACCATAGACAAAAATTTGAACTTACTGATCTTACCCTCCAAAAGCTCAAATTGCTCAAAAGTATAATCCTAATGCCTAATATGGCCTGAGACAGCCTCCTTGAAGCCCATTGGATATAATTTTTGACCAATAGGAATAGATATTTATATCATCCATCTCCATTCATTCATATGGATGCCCTAACTACTTTTTTTCCTACCAAAATCCCTCTCAAACTCTTTTTTTTATAAGATTTATACAATATATGCCGTAAATATCATATAAAAAAAACAAAATAAGACTTTAAGGATCACCAAAATCTAACAAAGGTGATTCTGAATATTTAAAAGTTACTACTAATAAGATCAACTTCAAATTCATTATCAAAAGAAAATAAACTTATATAAATTCTAATAGAAGCATTTTTAAACAACCTCTTTTTGAGATAGAAATCTATCCACATCTTATAACAACAAAAATCCACTAACATGGCTTTCACCATGTTGTCTAATATATTATGTATTAAATACATAAATCCATTATTTTCACATTGTAGCCAAACCACAATATAACATTGGTACTAGAAAACCAAGAATTGTTGAGCTTCAGAGGTTTGATGGCACAAGATCCAAGTTTTGAGGATTTAACAATTAAGTACTACTTATGATTGAATTTCATCTCCAAAGCTATCCAACTATAAGATCACAAGTTAGATTCATTAGTACACTTCTTTTTGGTTTAGCATTA